GGGCATCTGGCACTATTCAACCGGCACTAAAAGGGTCCCTCGACTGTACCGTGTGTAGTTAATTGTCAGAATTTTTTTTTAACATGTTGGAGTATATTGCGCGGCTTGAAATGTGTATGGGGAAAGATAATTCGGCCTAGGACAGGGCAGCTGTAACGGTAGAGAGGAACGCCTTCGATCGGGACCTTGACGTTTTTCGCCGCCTGCAGCAAGGGTTAATTCACGTGTATCACGCACTCGTGTCATATTTGAACGGTCATCCGCGCACGTCCGCCGATCTACTTTTTTTCGCAAACATACACAGGAGGCGAGCTGCAAACAACAACGGCGAGAAGGTGCCGAGCCAGCAACCTCTAGCTCGCAAGGAGTATGTCAAGAACATGGGTGGCGTGGACGTCGCAGACCAGCGGCTTAGCGCCCACACCCACACGCACAGGCCTATGACGTTCTTCTGGAGGCGAGTCCTCGATCAAAAGTTCGCTCAAGCCGTCAGAAACGCGTGGCTCCTGTTCTTCGAGTGGGCCGGGGTGCTAGCCACGCAGTGTACCGCGGCGTTGGAGGCGGCGACACGAGCCGGGCGTGTGGGTAATGCCGGGGACGCCGGGGAAGCCGGAGAGGGAGGGGCGGCGGCGGGCAGTTGCGACCTCACGGTGGCAGAGCTCCAAGAATTTCAATGCCTAGTCGAGAAGGCTATTAAGATGGAGCGTATTGACTGGGACCGTAGGTTCGCGAATCTCCTCATGTCCTTGTGTAACGTGGGTCACGGTGGGAAGGGGGCAAGGCGCACGACGACAGTGGAGTCGTACCGCGTGAAAGGCGCACGCGGTCAGCATGTATGCTATGGGGGGGCTTGCAAAAAGACGGCCGGTCCGTACACTGGGACTAGAATTTGTGGGGGTATGCTGGTGTGATACTTGCACGGGTGGGATGGGGAAGGACCGGGCGTTGATGCTGTGCAATACGTGCAGTAAAGTACCGGAAGCGCATGTTGCCGCTAAAAAGTGGGCCGCAGAGAGAACGTACAAGCCAATCAATNATGCCGGGGACGCCGGGGAAGCCGGAGAGGGAGGGGCGGCGGCGGGCAGTTGCGACCTCACGGTGGCAGAGCTCCAAGAATTTCAATGCCTAGTCGAGAAGGCTATTAAGATGGAGCGTATTGACTGGGACCGTAGGTTCGCGAATCTCCTCATGTCCTTGTGTAACGTGGGTCACGGTGGGAAGGGGGCAAGGCGCACGACGACAGTGGAGTCGTACCGCGTGAAAGGCGCACGCGGTCAGCATGTATGCTATGGGGGGGCTTGCAAAAAGACGGCCGGTCCGTACACTGGGACTAGAATTTGTGGGGGTATGCTGGTGTGATACTTGCACGGGTGGGATGGGGAAGGACCGGGCGTTGATGCTGTGCAATACGTGCAGTAAAGTACCGGAAGCGCATGTTGCCGCTAAAAAGTGGGCCGCAGAGAGAACGTACAAGCCAATCAATTGGTTTGGATCGCCGCCCGAGTAATTCATTGTGATTATGTGTGTCCCAGGCAAGTGTTTTGAAGTGCCAGAAAATGCGTCGCCGCCACCGTCAGAAGACTATCGGGGGGGGTCCATACAAGTTAGTCGACAAGCAGGCCTGTTGCAACGACCTTCTGTCTGTAGCTTGACTAGGTGATAGTTGAATCGGAGTTGTCATTGTCATTGTTTGCATGCTACGGTGTCAAGATGCCGCCCGGTGCGGCGGTTGGTATGCACTCGAAAGACGCAGAGAATAGTAGGAGGCAGGAGGGATTTCTTCATGGGTACCTCGTACAACCCCCTGCTCTTATTTCGCTACTCGGGTGCCAGGGTTAGGGTTGGTCTGGCATGCGTTAGCAATGTCAGCGTTCCGGGTTGGAATGGAAGCGTAGGTTCATGTGCCAACAGGCGGGCGAGTGCCCTGCGCCAATGGAAGAAGTCTTGCGCATGCAAAAAATGCGGAAAGGTGTTACGACTCATGTATATCGTAAATTGAACAACACGCATACACTCATGCTTTTATTGGTACCGCGGACACTCTGTTTGTCAGGTGCCGTTCCCTATCATGGTGGCAAGAGCGAAGAGGCACGTGTCGTGTAATGCCTGTTGAAATGTTGTTTGGGCACAATCGACACATGTTGTCGCGAGCGCTTGCCTCATGGCCGTGCTTGTCGCATGGAAGCGTTGTTGCTATTCGCCAGGAAATTTGACGTTGCTGCCGTTCTTATTGTTTTTCTTCACATGAAAAAACAGCGGCAGCCTCTGGTCAGCGCCATCTAATATCCGTACCCGTGTGACGCCCACGTCTACCATGGTCACAGGCCAACTACCCCACAAGGGTGCACACTTCGAGAAAGATTATACGCCAGGCATCGCTGGTGTCAATTGCCGGACATAACAACAAACAAATGAGTCCAACGCTCTCGCAGGCAAGCGCTCTCTAACAAAGCAACAAAATAAGCCAAAGAATGAATCAAGACTACGACATCGTCCGACAATCTTTGGGCCCTTACATGTAGACCGGGGTGTAGCCACCGATGCAGCTGCAACCCTCATGCTCCTCCGGGAGGATGCCCTCTTGCTCGCAGTAGTGGCTCAGTCGTGTAGCAACGACCTTAAGCAGCACCTTGCCGGCGTGTGCGATGAGAGAGATGCCCCGGTAGTTGCCGCACTACATCGTGTCCCCCTTCTTGAACAGCATTTGGATGGTGGCATCCTTCCACTGCTGTGGTACGTCCCCCGTCTGCCACACGTCCACGACATGGCGGCGGTCTCTCCCGTTGGCCGCCTGAGCGCCGTGGGCGGAGGGCGGATGGAGTCCCTGTTTTGGAAGACGACCCGTAGGTGTTTGTCCTTCCTCAACCACTCGAGGTCGATACGGATCCGGCTGCTTCCGCTATTCCCCCGCACTCGTCGGTTGGGTGCGACACGGGGGGGGAGGCGGACAGTCGTAAGCACGAGG